TCAGGTCCCTTCCGACCCTAGAAACTATGAAACTAGGTCCCACTTCTAGACACTTACAATTTCGGACAAAATCTACACATGACTTTAATACTTAAGCCATGCCCTGACTCTGGGTGGCATTTAACCTGGGTTCAAGTGTCTATATCGGAGTCTTGGACTGTTATCTCTTTGGGCCACGGGCTGTCTCTCAGCTACATGTGTGGAGCTCTGCATGCACACTCGTGAAACATCACTGCCCATTCTTATATCCATTCTTCAGGAAAGAGGATGACAAATTGGAGAGGAGTCACAAAAGAGCCATGAGAGTGATGATGAAAGAGCTGACAAATATACATCATTATGAAAGAGTCCAGGAGGTCAATCAACTGAACTCATTAAAATTAAGGTTAAGGGCTGACTTGAGCATAGGCTGTAAGTGCCTACCTGGAAATGAACGGCGCTTGTGCCCGAAAGCATGCTAAAAAGAATTTTTCCAACTCTTTAGGTTGCTCTAATAAAAGATATCAAATTTACCCAAAGAACCTTGCCTACCTGGGAACAGAAATTTGATAGCAGAGGAATCTTTAATTCAGCAGAGACAGGCAGGACAAGAACTACAGGCTGGAAGTGCAAGTCAGATGAATTAAAACTAGAAATATAGCACTGTGTTTAATTCTGAGGGTAATTTGCTGCCAGGACAACTGAGCAAAGGCTGTCATGCATTCTCCCTGGCTAGAAGTCTTTAAATCTTTAACGCTGGGATGTATTTCTAAGAGTTGGGCTGTACCTTAACTCCAGTGACTAAGAAGTAACTGAAGGAAGTCTGATGGTCCACTTAATGCAGGAGTTTGGAGGACCTAGGGAAAGCCAGCCTTTCTGCTAATCCACAAGGGCCCTGATCTTTGGCTGGTGCCTCTACCTCAGGGGTGGGCAAAATGAAGCCCGGGGGCCAGATGTGGCCCACCAGGCCATTCTATCCAGCCCGTGGGGACTCTAAAAAATTTAGAAAATTAATATTTATCTGCCCCTGGCTGCCTATCATGCGGCTCTTGATGACTTGCCAAAACTCAGTAAGTGGCCCTCCGCCCAAAATAATTGCCTGCCCCTGCTCTACCTGTTACCTCCCTCCTCCTCCTCATCATCAGAAAAAAATAGGCTTAAAATTTGAGGACAAATAAACCCAGTCAGTCTTCACTGGGTGTTCTAGGGATATATGAATTACTTTTATTAGGTATACAACATATTGCTCTTCTTATTTTCTGTTTCTTCCAGAAATCTTCCCCTGAGGATGGGGGACCTGTAAAGGGCAAGTGCAGGTTGCTCATGCTATAAAGATGGGGAAACCAATGCAGAGAGAAAGTCAGTGATCATCACCCATCATATTGGGGAGAAACAGCCCAGAGGAGCTCTCTCTCTCAGACACTCTTCTCACTCCCAGAGCTATTAAGCTGCATCTATGTAATACAGAGCAGCACATCCTCAATAAATCACAGTAAATCATGGCCGAGGCAGTGTGGAAAGTAGGCTGGAGAAGATAATGAGTTTTTCACTTTCTCTCCAACGGCGGAACAAGTTTGCTCCGCTGAGGGAAGGTCAGATTTCATGGGTGAAGGAGATAAAAGCAGCCAGGGCTCCCAACTCTCACTCCTTCCCTGAGCCCCTGCTCTCACCGTGTAGACCCCTGGCCCATGTCAAAACTAGCCTGCAGAGACCGGGGCAAAAGCCTGGTGTGTCCGCGCCTGCGTGTGCATGTAAGAGAGAAAGAGAGAGAGAGAGGTGCCCCAGAATATTAATTGAAAATCCCTGCAAAACACTAATGCTGATGATAATGGACTGTAATCCTCTTAGACCAATTTTATGCCTAGGAAACGGTGCAATGATAAAGAGCCCTCGGTGCCCCCGTCTTGCTCCGTGTGGGGTGAAGGGGGTCAGGCTGGAGCCAGGACAAGGACGGGGGGAGAGGCTGTGGGCCTCGCTGAAGGGTCCCGGAGGGGGGCCGAGGTAAGGTCAGAGCCCCCGGCCCCGAGGTGAGGCCGGCGGGCGGCCTTGCCCCTCCGCGCCCCGCCGGC